CCAGCTTTTCTCTCCTGCAGTCAACACACAGTTAATGCTCAAGAATGTGCCATAGTTAGCAGAACTGTATACTCCATGAAGACCGTGTCTAGAACTGATTCTGCTCACTATTGTGTTGCTAGCACTAGCAATATTGCCTAGCTCATAATAGCTGTTCAATAAATCTCCAAAGGTGACTGAATAAAGAAATGAATTAGGGAATAAAGGGCCTGAGAAGGGAGTCAGGGAGAGGAAAGAAGGGAGAGGGGGAGATAGAAGAAAGGAGAAGGACAAGATCAAAGCTCCATGTATGTATGTATGTATGAAAAGGCGACAATGAAACCCATTAATTTGTTCAATTAATGAGTGTTAATAATTATAATATTTAAAGCAACAAGATACCATTACATACCTATTAAAATGGATAAAATTGAAAGCACTGACAATACCAAATGCTGACTAGGATGTAGAACAATAGGAACAACACAGGTGTAAGCTATGGACTTTAGTTAATAGTAATGTGTCAATAGTGGCTTATCATTTCTAACAAGTGTGTCACACTCTGGCCAGGCATAATAACTCACACCTGCAACCCTAGCTACTCAGGAGCCAGATATTAGGAAAATTGCAGTTGAAGACTAGCCCAAGCAAAAGTTAGGCAACCCAATCTCAATAAAAAGCTGGGTATGGTGGCATAAGCCTGTCATCCCACCTATGTGGCCAGCCCTGAGCAAAAACGTGAGACCCTACCTGAAAAATGATTAAAGCAGAAAAGGGCTGGAGGTATGGCTCAAGTGGTAGAGCACCTGCAAGTGCAAGGTCCTCAGTTTGAACCCCAGTACCAGCAAAAAAATGTACCACACTAATATAAAAAACTGGGAACTGGCAAAGGAGGGGAATATGGAAACTTTGTGCATCACACTCAATTTTTTTGGTAAATCACTCCAAAAAGTCTATTAAAAAAAAAAAAACCTCAAAAAAGAAACAAATTAGGAAAAAATAAGGATCTACCTCCAACATGCTGTTCTACTGACTTTGGCATACCCTTGTTGCTAAATGCAAAATCAAAAAGATGAAATAAGTTTCTAGAAATCTTTTGATGTGGTGAGAATGAGTAAGATTAAGAAGCTCACAGCTGGCTTGAGATTTGGTTGGGACTACCCATTTAAATTTTGACTACTTATGGCAAAATAAATCATTTAGTGCCTTGTCTGAATGAACATTATGCTAAAAAAACAATTTGGTCAAAGCTTAACTAGTCAGAATATTATTCTGAGCCAATGAGGAGGAAGCAGAAAAACTGTATTATTCCCTTATTGGATAGAGCTTTTTAGCATGTGAATCCATTTTCCTGTCTAAGTGAGATTTGTTGAACAGAACTGCATTCCATTAGTATCTTACAAAGGCTCAGGATCCTTCACCAGCATACACAGATGTACTTTACTGCAGTTAAGTTGCACTAACCAGAGTGACCAGACCTTGTAAGTTGCCGAGTGGATGGCAACCTTCATGGTTTGATTTAAGAGGGACTTAAAAGGCCCCTTTTCCTAAAACTATTTCTCCTCTGGATTGTTCCAATACTTGAATTTCCAATGTTTAGACTTGTTGGGTTAAGGGTTGTCTAAATACTCCTGAGCCTAGTGGAGTGGTCCACACCTGTAGTACTGGCTACTTACTTAGGAGGCTGAGTTGGGAGGATTGCTTGAGCCCATGAGTTCAAGAAAAACCTGGGCTACATAGCGAGACTTCATCTCAAAAAAAAAAAAAAAAAAGCAAATACACCTTAAGGGGACTAATTCATTTGTCAACCTGAATGAGATCACAGAATGATGAAAGCTCATGTTCACTGCACAAGAACAGGTTAAAGAAGAGCCACATCTGAAAGGGTAGCAAACGTAGAGGTAAGTCCTGAGCAATGAACTCTGCTTGAGGGATGCAGACCTGAATAAGTTGCTAAGTTCACAGGAATACGGAATCCTATGTGTGTGGAAAATAAGGTACAACCTGCCCAGCGGGGTTTCTATATGGATAACATGTACTCTATAAGGTAACACCCACGCATAGGAAATCAATGTGAGTCAATGCCCTGTATAGCTATCCTTATCTCAACCAGCAAAACCCCTTGTTCCTTCCTATCATTGCTTATACTCTCTCTACAACAAAATTAGAGATAAGGGCAAAATAGTTTCTGCTGGGTATTGAGGGGTGGGAGCGGGAGGGGGTGGAGTGGGTGGTAAGGGAGGGGGTGGGGGCAGGGGGGAGAAATGAACCAAGCCTTGTATGCACATATGAATAATAAAAGAAAAATGAAAAAAAAAATCCATACTTTTCCTTCCCTTCCTATATGATTCATTATATTGATTTCAGCTCAGCTTCCAAGCTGTCGAGATCATTTTGGATCACAATTCTGTCATACAGCATAATGGCCATTCCTATCAGGAGCAATCCACAAATTAACTAAGTGTGCCTTCTGTGTTTTTGTCTAAGTCACTGTTCTTAATCTTTGCTTCAGGGAGTCTACAGTCATTTAAAACTGTATGTGACACTTTTCAATGGTGAGGAGTCCGGAGTTTTCAGTAAATTCTCAAGATGGTCTGTGACCTCAAAAAAGGTTAAAAACCATTGGTCCAACTATTCACCAGTATTTTGAACAGGACAGTGTTAATAAGGACATAACTTTTAAAGTGCTAATAGTGCCTGCCTTCATGGTCAGCAGTGATCCATCAGAATTTTGGGGGTATGGTTATTGACTTTTACATGTCAATCCCTTTTCTTATTATTTGCCATCATCATAAAAGTGGAAGGGAAAAATGAATTCCAGCTACTCGGGCATTCTGTTAATTGTGATTTTTAAACTGTTGATGTTTAGTTTTCAGCCTCTAAATATTATGTCATCCTTAAGACAATAATGTATTTTGCTTCCTGTTCCCATCAGACAATATATATCATAGTACAATATTTTATCTCTAACTGGAATGCTTCAAAAGTCCCTGAGATTGGCTGCAAATTGACATGCCAAAGAAATTACATGGACAAAAGTTTGCTATCTGTTATTTTCATAGCTCTGGACAGGCAATTAACATTAGTTAATTTCCACTTCAACCCACCTTAAAGACTACAACCTCAGTTGGTATATGGATGTGATCTGTAGAAAAAGCAGTTTTCAGTTTAAGAAACTGGATGTGATAAGTTATTCATTACCTTGCTTGAAAAGAATGTACCTTAGAAGAAAGTCAGATGCAAAAAAAGTGCATACTATTTGATCCCATTGTATGAAGGTCAGGAAAAGGCAAAGCTACTTCGTAGTGATGGAAAACAAATCAGTGGTTGCCTAGGTTCAGGGCACAATGGGATTGTACAAAGAGGCATATTTTGGGCTGATGGAGATGTTCTATAGCTAGGTGAGTACGATGGTTTCATAGGTATGTCAAAACTGATCAGATTGCACACTTAAATGTGCAATTTATTGTGCATAAATTATACATAAATGGAATTATTTATTAAAGGACTTATCTTAGGAGTCATTAAAATGAGATTTTATTGCACATTATTTATTGAGCCCTAAAATAAGATTTGAAATATGATTGATTATACAAGTGAAAAAAGTAAACCTACCTAAAAATTTCCTTCAAGGTGGGATGTGAGTGAAATATGATTATGAAAAGGGTTTTTAATAGGTGAAGAAGAAGTGATATCAATGCACATTAGTTAATATTTAGCATTTGTACAAGAATGACATCTCCTTATTAATGTGAACTATATGAACAGCAAAACAGATTACTTAGTTAGTTGAGATTATCTAAAATCAATCTAAGTATACCTTCAGAACATTTTCCTTGTCTGTCCCTTCAAAATAGATAGCATCAGACACAGTGATAACATAATAGCTTATCCAAAGCTAAATTGTACATTGCCTATAATATCAACACTTTATAGTTATCAAGAAATTGTATCTGAAATTGCTTGCCTATACTTCATTTGGCATTTAAAAATTGGGTTACTTCTAGATGGTTCAACAATTGACATACTGGCCCTGTATTTCCCTATAGAGCTCACTCCCCATATCAGAGTTAAACTGGGAAGGGCAAAGAGAATTAAGCCGGATGGGCAAAGAAGATCAAATGCGCAGGTGTATGCCTTCCCACACCCCAGGAGCCACTGTGCAATCGCCAAACAATTTGGGGAGTGGCCACAAAGGGAGGGCCTCAGTTTCATGCTACTTATAAACCTACCCTATTGGATAAAACCCCAAGTCCTGACAATTTCCATGCCGTCAGTCCTTATCCAACTGCTCACCTAACCCCTGCCCACCTAATCTTACTTCTGCTTTGCTATCTTTACTATCTAAAATCATTGTGTTACTTCAAAAATTTGCTATGCTTAGATATTGCACACCAGAGTGGCTTCTTGGGAAATCTAACATGATATATTAAACATTGATTGTAAGACTTGGTTTAGAATTCTATGTACCAAGTAACACATACTCTTTGTATATTCTCCTCTGTTGTTTATGGAGAACATTTCCCTAATCCATGAACTAATGCTGTCAAATTATTTTCCTAGTAGTAAGTATAAGAATGATCAGGGAAGCCTGACAACTAATCCTAAAAATAATATTGAATGCCACTTGTCATGTGTGCATGTGGACCATGCGCACTTTGTCATGTGTGCATGTGGACCATAAAAAAAAGTAGCTAAAAATAGAAAATAAGATTTTCTGCAATATGACAGAGGTGCTCTTGCAAAACTCTTTCAATGAGTTAGGAATCACTGGCCTTGTCATTTGTTAGGCTTACACATTAGTAAATTGTTAAGTATTCTATACTGACAATGCAGGAGCCCTTGTATTTATTCAGCAATTTTCTTGACCCATTTAGTTTAGATTCATGGTAAGAATGAGCACCTTGTTAGAAGAGGGTTGGTCAGAATAGAGGGAGGAGGTGGCAGCTGGTTAGGTCAACTATATTCCAAATGCCAGTAATTGGTTCTTTACTGGTGAATTATGTATGTAGAGCACTAGCCTATGTCTTAACCACACCCCTTCCCTCATCATGCAGGGGCTCAACTAAAACCTCAGGCTCTAGCTCTGGTTCTAGCACTGGCTCCAGCTCTGGCTCCGGATCCATCTCAAGCTCAGACACTGGCATAGGCTCCAGTCCTGGGACAGGCTGTGCAGCAGGCTCTGGCTGTGGGTTAGGCTCATGGTCCGGCTCCAAGATAGTAGTAGGGTCTATGTCATGAATGTTGTGTGGCAGAGTTGCTTCTAGCTGGACAGCATCTTCAGTTGGCATTGCTTTACTCTCTCTGGTTTGGTTTATCTTTGTCATTGGTCTACAAGAAAGAGGGTCCAGAAAAGAACAAGTTAGGTCAATGTTAACTTTGAAGTTTCACGTGGAATCATACACCCTTGTAGCTTCAGTGACCTAGGCCCCAGACTGGTCAGGATATCTGTTAATTCTGATATTCTTACTCATTGTCAGACTATGTGTGTCCATTCTGGGATTCAGAAAGGTTAGGTCTCAACAATATGATGAAAGTTCAAGAAAGACAGACCAGTGTTTAAAAGATGAGAAAACTGACATCAGGATGAAAGAGTCTAAGAATTTCATAAGGTCTTCAAGGGTCAAATCCATAGTTCTAATACATCTCTATCTCCAACTCCATGTAGCACAATACTTGGTACCTGGTTGGTACCCAATACATAGTTGAATTAATGAGTGTGACCTATACTACAGAGGAAATAGTAGCATGGTTAAAAGCATGGGCTGTGGGAGGGACCACATTCTGACATCCATGGGCCCAATGGACTTTGCCTTTTTGGGTCTCTTGTTCCATAAAAATATTTAAAATTATATTTATGGTTGTGTTGGTATAAAGACAGTATGTTGCATTTTTTTATTTAAAAGGGTTGTTGTGATGACTAAATGAGTTGAAACACATGAAGTGCTTAGAACAGAGTCTGGCACCCAAGGTTTAGTAAATGAGAGCAACCGTCATTCTTTTCACAGAAGCAGTGACAGTGATCAGAAAGATATCTCTGGTATCTTATGCTAAAAGGAGTGCTTAGGAAGAACTGATTGCAAGAAATATGCCTGAGAAATGTTTGCATTCAAGTAAAGACAACAGTGCAGATTTGTGTGTTGAAGTAAATAAGGGCTTACTCAAGTTCTGTCGTGGTGTTAGAATTCCTCTTCCTTTCCTTTGCCTTTGCTTTGTTCCTTGCAAAGAACACCACAGAGACAATGATGGAAGCACCTATCAGAGTACCAACCAAGGCACCAACAATGATCCCAGCTTCTGGATCTGGAGGACACAAGCAGTTAGTTAGTTAAGCAAACATTTGTAACTGATGGAAAATATTTGGAACATTCCTCTAGCAGGGAATTGACTTGGATAGGCTGGGTGGAATGGGGGATAGAAACCCTTAGAATTCTGCCAGTTGGATTCATAGTGGATGAAGAAGATGAGTGAGTTGCCTGTGTAGCTTAACCATTGACATTTACACACATGATAAAGAACAAAATCTGTCAACTTGGGTCAGGCAACGTTGCTTTCAAACCAGGGTTTAAAGAAGAAAGTCTTTAGCGTACATTTGTGTCACTGGAGATAGAGAAAGACTGTGAATTTACAATCTAGTTACCAGAAACGTGACTTCAATATAAGGCAAGGACATTTTGCCAGGCTTTCCCAAAGAATAGGTGAGATATTTCCCTAAAAACCTCCTTCTCCCCACCCCCAAAGTCCATGCAAGGAGCCTCCTGCATTCTGGCCACTGGTAAATGATATAGTCATTTGCATAAACAGACATCTGGTTTATTACGTCAGTCTATGGAAAAATTTAATGAGTGTGAGACAATCCAGCTGAGCACCAGACCTTCAAGCTTGGAAGCATCCCTGAGAGAGCATGTCAAGGTCATAAGCTGGTCCATCTATATCTACTTCCCCTCAAACAAGGAAGGTTTCTATTGTGAGATGAGAAACTAAATTGAGTTGCCTAACAATTCCTTTAATTTTTATGATTAAAGGAATACAAGTAGCTGGATGTGTGGTGCATGTCTGCAACCCCAGCACTTAGGAGGCTAAGGCAGAAGGATCATGAGTTCAAGGCCAGCCTGGGCTACATAGGGAGAATCTATGTACATGCAAATAATTTAAAAATCAGGTAATTCTAAACTTCTAACACAAACAGTAGTCCCTGTTCCATCCATTTGCCCTTTTTCCAAACTCTTCTTGCCCTTTTTTTCAATTATGTTGTTCCGATATGTCCTGCCTTTTTTTTTTCAATCTTCACAATTCCCTTTTGACTTCCTAAACTGGAAATTGGAGATTTAACTTTTACACCACTTGCCTCACCTCCACCACATTCTCCTAATATGGTTATAGCACACATTTTAGTTAAAGCAAAGCTTGCAGTATGACAATTAAATACTGTTCACATCTGAAAAACATACAATACTACAATTCTTTCTTATGCAACACTTTAAAAAATTTCTCCTTATGCTAATAATTGCCTTGCTTTTGGATTTGTTTAGTTTTTAATGCATTATCACTAATTCCAAAATTTACAGAAAATCATTAAATTTCTTTCAATAGATTCAAGTCCATCAGATATCATTTCTTATGTTTTTCCTTCAGAGACACCCTTTCAGTTCTCCTTCCTCTTCCTTCACCATAGACTAATTGCCCATCTATGCCTGCTTCTCTACATTTATCCTTCAACACTCCCATTTTACAGATAAAGGAATAGACTTTGCAAGTTCCTTCAAGAGCCAGATCAAGCCCAGGCATTGGTGGCTTATGCCTGCAATCCTAGCTACTTGGGAGATCGAGATCTGGAGGGTTACAGTTCCAGGCCAGCTTGGGCAAAATATTCATGAGATTCCATCTCAACCAATAGCTGGGTGTGGTGGTGTGTGCCAGGAAGGAGGGAAGGAAGGAAGGTAGGGGAAGGAGAAGGGGATGGGGAAGGGGAAGGGGAAGGGAAGGGGAGGGGAAAATGAGGCAGAGTGGGCACAAGGGAATGGAGGGAGGGGAAGGAAAGAAACAAAAGGGGCCCAGATGGCAAGAGGGAGGAAAGGAAGGTAGTGAGGCAGGCAGGCAAATGCTGGACATCATCAGAAAGATTAGAAAGGATACAAGACTAAAGTACAAATCTTAGTTGTCTGTACAACTGCAGTGTGATGCTATCTCTGGGAAGGCAGAAAGGGATTGGGGAGTTCTAAAGACAATGAAAATGATCGTGGGAAAAGAGCTGAAAATGATAAGTGCCAAGGAACAAGCTTAGGACAAACAAAGAGAAGAAATCTCAGCTTTACAGGAACAGCAGCAACCCAATGGAACTTGCCATCCATGCATGTGGTAGACATTAAAACCACAACTTCCAAGTATGTTTGAAAAAGCCCTAAGTGTGAGTAAGTGACACTCAAGAGGTTTGGGCAAGACAGCTCTTATGAGGGCTTGCCATTGGATGGGCCCAAATTTCTAATTCCAGGGTCCATAAGTACTATGTTTAGAGAGGAAGGAAGCACCTCTGGACAGGAGATTGGGGTTTACAGGCATCCCAGTTCTGTCAGTTACTAATGGGATGACCTTGGGCAAGTCATTTACCACCCTGAGTTTCTGTGCTCTCTTCAATAAAATAAGACTAACAATATATTTTGCTTCCCTAGTAAGGTGGTTGGGAAGGTTGAGTAAGATAATGCTCATATAGCCCCTGGCCTAGTGCCTGGCACATAATATAATAATAATAATAATAATAATAAATATTAGGTACTATAATCTTGGATGTCTTATTATTTTTGTTATTGAGACACGATCTCACTGTGTAGTCCAGGCTGACCTGGACTCACTGTGTAGCCCAGGCTGGCCTCAAACTTACGATCCTCCTGCTTGAGCCTCCTGAGTGCTGGGATTATAGGCATGTACCACCACATTCAGCTGAGAGTAGAGAGTAGTAGTAGAGGCAGATCCCAACAAAGCAGTTAAGAACTGAAAAGTTTGCAAGCTATATATATATATATATATATATAGCCACAGAATAACCTGTTTATCAGCAGCATCATAAACAGAAATCCAGCCTCATACTATCAATAAGACTGCTATTTTATTTATCAAGTAGTAATACCTACTTTGTAGAGATCTTGTGAAGCTTAAACAAATTGTGTTTTGTAAAGGATTTAGGAAATGTATTAAGTATTATGTAAGCATTAGATATTAGGATGGTCATTCATCCTAGCAACCTATCAATAAAGCATGCAAAACTCCATAGAGGCAGGAAGGGCTAACCAGAGATTCTATGTACTCAGCTGACAGACCCAGGCTACTTGACTCGAGGAAGAACTGTGAAAGCCCTGTGGTCAACTCACGTGAGGAGGTCAGATCAATTTCACAGGAACTGTTGCCGAGGCTGTTGATGGCAGTACACTGGTAATAACCTTGTTCAAAATTTGTCAGATTCCCAATAGCGAAAATCCCAGTGACTGAGTCTGTGAAAACCAAGAAATAGACTTTTAAGAGCTCTTACGTCACCAATCATGTCAGAGTATCAGATCATCCAGTGCTCACCCACCTCCCCACAATGGCATCCCTTTCTTGACATGCCCAGGTTCACCTAGGCCTCTTGGGACTGTTTTCAAAGGTAGCCGCTATAGTCCCCATGCCTGTTCCCTCCACACTCACCACTCAGCTAGAAGCTGGCTTCTAGAAGGTGAGGAATAGATATACCACAACCATGTTGGGAAAGAGATACCCTTTTCAAATCTCTCCCCCACCTAGAAGAGAAGATTGGGCCCTAAGAATGAGAAGCCAGCCGCACCCTCGTGCTGTCAGCCAAACACTAGGTCTGGCCAAGGCCTGCAGAATTGGACACTTACTGAAGCTTTCTTTCACTGGTACGGTGTTTCTTCCCTCAAGTTTGTACCAGTAGTACACTGGAGAAGGTGTTCCATGTGCAGAAAAGCAAGACAGGGAAATAGGGTGGCCTGTTTCCGGTCTTCCTTGGATGCTACAAAAGGGCTTAGAAGGTTTGACTGTAAGGTAATGACAAAGAGTAAAACTTCTGCAGAATGAGTGGCAGTCCATGACAATTGCAGTCACATCCTCACTTTCATTTTGCCAAATATGTAGGGTTTTTAAAAAATCTATTATAAAAACTTACTTGAATAGTGTTCTGGTCATACCACCAGATGGTAGTAGAGTACTTGAGGTGCCAGGACCTTCTAGTCAGGAGGCCATTAAGATTCAAATCATGTCTCCTGTGTCTGCCTCCTACCCAGATTTATAACCATGAATTTCTGCATTGTGTCTTAAAATATGCCTTTATTAAAACAGCCAAATGTAAGCAAATACAAAACGATTAAGAACATCCCTTGTATTTTTTAAAGTTTTAAATGAAAATAAAACTGTTAAATTCTTTGAAATAACCTGTTTTTTAATCTTTTAAAAATGTTTCATTGATACTACATTTTTCTATTCCTTTATGAGTCATTTCTTTTGCTTATTCATCTGTGGGTGACACAAAACAGTTGGAAGGTTTGACGTTCCTTCATCAGTAGGGAAAGCCCATTTTGGGTGTGCACTGTGTAACACTGCAATCTTTCTTCCTCCTTCACTCAGCAAACATTCAGTTATGTGCCTTCTGTGTGCCCTGAACTGGACATTGGGAATTTGAATATAGTTTTGGCACAGTTCTGAATTAGGGTAGGGGGACTGATGAGAGATGAGGTTGGAGAGTGGCAGAGGCCATATCTGGAAGGGCTTTGTATTCCGTGTATTTTATACTGAAAGCAGGGAGACCCTAGAAGGAGTTTAGGTAGGGTAGTGGTGATGGCCACTTTAACCTTTTAGATGGATCTCTGGCACTAGGGATGCCTGAGCCAAGGGAAAGGTGGAGACAGATTCAATAGGCATTTAAGAAAGTAGAGTCAACAGTACTTGGTGACCAACTGGATGTGAGAGATAAGGAAGAGAGTGAGATCTGTGGTGACTCCCAGGCTTCTGATTTGAACAGCGGGGTACATGACCTTGCAACCACCTGAGATAAAGAACGCAGGTAGAGGAGCTGGTTTCAGAGGAGGGAATGACAAGGAGGAAGGAGTGACAATGAGGGCAGTTTGGAACATGTTGAGTTTTAGCTACTTATGAAAACACCTCAGTGGAGAAGTTCTGTGGAAATCTAGGCATCTGAACCTTCTCCTTCTCCTTACTTTGCACTGCTTATTCTACCCTTAACACACACACTCATAATGATCTCAAGTTCTAGATTTTCTAACTCTCCTTCCTTATATTAACTTGAATATAAAACCATCCAAAGGCTGACATTCTCTAAGTCACACCTTAAATGCTTTCAAACACTGAGCCCTCCAGCTCTTCACTGAGACACAGTAGATAAAGAACACAGCTCTGGACCCACACAGAATACTAGCTCTGCAACTTTACCCTAGATGTGTTTGGGCAAGTTACCTAACTTAACCAAACCTCAAATTGACTCATCTGTAAAATGTGAATAAGAGATTATCTACCCTCTGGCTGATCCAAAAATTAAATAAAACATTGTACATAGAATTGCCGTTGGCCATTGACAAGAATAATTCTTCCACCAAACTTTATCCCCCGTGGACTTCTGCTCTCCTTAACTATCTCAGACTCTAACCCCTTGCACACATGAGCAAGAAGACAGATGTATATGGCTGTAACCCTTTGAAACACTTCACTATCCCATCTTGAAAACTGGTATCTTTTGATTAAAAGAAACATTTTTCTATTTAGCTCTTGATTCTCTCCTTACCAATGACTTTCTCAGGTGGCAGTAATTTGATTGGCCTGTCCTAAACTAGGCTATTTAACTAGGACTGATTGCAACTATTGCTAGATTTAGTTGATGTCTTTTTTAAAAGACGAGGATTTTATAGCCTTTATAGTAAAATTAAATAGGCATGTTGCATCACGAAAAAGTTAGACACAGGATTTGAGCTAAATTATGAATAGAAACCTGGAATGACTTGCACTCATTTCTTCAGTCCAGATTCAAACCCAGATAGGCCTTTTTTGGTAAACATAATTTTTCTCCTTTTATTTTTTAATAGCAAAACACTTAACTGAATCACTCTGAATCAAACTGCAAACCTATATATTTTCTAAAACTACTAAATCAGTGTTGAACTGGCGTTTCATCAGGCTACAGTCCTCAGCAGAATTTGGATGTTTTACTGGCAAAGCCATTGTTTTCCCTTTAGCTTTATTGCTTTCAACAGAATTAGGGTGGGATGCGAAGGCTCCCGTCAGAAAATAAATGAAAATGCTTCAGCATGTTTGCAGATCTTCTTGAAATTAATCATTTTATTTTTATGTGCCAAACTGCAGAAGGAAGATGATGCTCTTTCCAAATGCACACAAAATAATTATTCAGACTCGATGTGGGTATTTTTCAGAGATTGATTTTCCAGGGTTGTCATAACTAATGGAAATCTCTCAAATGAATGGCCATCCAAACCACATGGTTCTTTGCTCATTGCTGTTTCCTCCACCTAAATTGTGACCTGCCACCCTAGCCCCTCTTCTGTCTGATACACCCTTGCACATCCTTCAACAGTCAGCACGAAAGTCACTTTCCCTGGGGACACCTTCTCTGCTTTCCCTCCTATGGTCTTTCCCCTGCGCCCTCAAAGCTCTCCTCTCACACCTTCCATTGAAAGCTTTTATATTATATTATCTGTTTCCTTTACTAGATTGAATTTTTGGAGGGCTGGGGCCCTATCTTTTATGTCTTCCCATCTCCATTGCTTAGTACAACTGACACATTGCTCAGGCTTTGTTGAATGAATTAATTAATGCACAAGTATACACATGGGATTGCTGGGCAATGAAGTCACTGAAATACACATTACCATGAACAGCCATCTTTAAGGAAATATCAATACCTTCCCCACAATTGGTCTTCCTTGACCATCTGTCCCCACCTTGTCCCCAACCAGTCAGGGCAAGCTGGTGCTCATATGCAATGGAATTTAAGAATTGCTAAACAACCTCTGCAACTTCTAGAGAAGATTAGCAATCTCAAAATTTCCAAAAAGCCTAAATTTGTAGGATGCCTTTATTTTTCACCCAATTAATAAAGATAGAATTTTGGAGAGTTCCTGGATAAGGAAATCTAGACACTTCAGACTCTTACCTTGCCTGGCTCCTGACTGCTTAAGCAAAAGTCATGACACAGTCCTGGCAGGAATTATCTGACCCAAAGACTCATGGGAAAGAATAACTCAGAAAGAAAGTGACCTTTGACTTATGGAAACTGATATGAAATCCTCTGAACTTGGAATTTAACAACATTAAGCTTCTTTTCTAGCTTTATTTCAGGGTTCTTTCCAAGCCCTATCATGAAGGGGCTTAGCCTCTTTAGATTGGTTCTGCTCACAACACCCCAGAGCCAGGGAGCAACAGAAAATCATTAGAGATTAATCCTTTAAATGATTTGAACATAAAAAAGCTCTTACTCTCTAGTATCTTATTTGATCCTCATTGATAAACCAGTAAGGAAGACAGGGGGCTTGGGAAATAGCTCAGTGGCATCTAACATGTACAAGGTTTTGGGCTTGATTCCCAGCACTGTGGGAAGAAAAGGAGGAAGAAAAAATGACTATGAAGGAAGGATAGAGTTTCTAGATGGTTCTATAAATTTGAGAGTATATAATAAAAAGAACGAAGTTTAGAGCTTTTAAGCTCTGAATGGAAAGATGTCCAAGACATAAGTATTAAATCATAAAATAGAAATGATGAACAGCATGGTTACTATATTCCTTTTGTTTATTAGAAAAGGAGAAATATAAGAACATATGTTCCTTTTTGCTTTTATTTGCATAAAATCAGCAAAGATCAACAAGAAATTCATAAAAATATTTACCTACTTAAGGCAGGAAACAGAGCAAACGTTGATAGAGGGAGGAGCAAGACTTTCCAAAGTGTATCTCTTTAAGAAGTATTTTTAGTTTTGAAATACATGTGTGGACTATCTAATTTTAAAAAGTATACAATCTAACATAAATGTGAATAGTATAAATTTATAAAAATTGTGGTTTTTAGTTTCTTTTTTGAATTTTAGTAATAAGACTTTTGTCTTATTACAAAGAAGAAGAAGACAAGGCAAGAATTACAACCAATAGTTCAAGAAGAATTAACCTAGAAGTAACACACATGCACAGGAAATCAATGCGAGTCAACTCCCTGTATAGCTGTCCTTATCTCAACCAGCAAAAACCCTTGTTCCTTCCTATTATTGCTTATACTCTCTCTTCAACAAAATTAGAGATAAGGGCAAAATAGTTTCTGCCTGGTAGCAAGGGGTAAGGGAGGGTAAGGGAAGGGGCAGGCGGAAGGGGGGAGAAATGACCCAAACATTGTATGCACATATGAATAAAATAAAAATTTAAAAAAAAAGAATTACAACCAAACTTATAATGACCAGAGAATAGTGGACTCGTTTGCATGAGGTCACTGAGTACAGAGTAAGACCTATAACTTAGGTCTTCTCACTCCAAGCTTGATGCTTTAGCATGTATATCACATCATTTAGTTCCCAAATAAATGGTTGGTCTTCCAAACTGGAATGTAAACTTTCCCAGGACAGGTCTTAACTAATAGTTCCTATCTGCCCCTGTACCCATTATTATAGTGCCCAGCACAAGGCTCAGCACAGTAAGACACAACCGGTTGAGCTAACTAACTCATTATCATCAACCCTTGGGCACCTTTCCCTCTTTTCCAGGTGGGTAGATGCAGTGGCAAACCTCACAGTAAACATCAGTTGGTTCCTTTTTGGCATCACCTGAGTGTCAAGTCGAGACTATTGCAGACCGTTTTCCTAGGTGTACACCTTGTTACCAATTGCTGCTGTTTCAAGCAACTCCATTATCTACTCAGTGATTTGATCTAGCTCCTCCTTTCCTTCGATGTATATACACCGGTTGAGAGGAGCAATCACTAGATCAGCTTCATTGGGGGTTAGAAATGGGAAATAGTCAACTGGTTCGTCAGTAAGGGTTGCCAACCCTCTTCTCCCTGTCTTTATTATGTCCAACTCTCAGGGCGGGCAGGCAGATACTACCTCAATTGCCCCCCCAGATAGAAGCTGGAAGGATCCCTAGCAATCACCAAAATTGGGAGCTCCCCAAGGACAGAAACCATGTTTCCATCACTGTAAACCTTATCTCTCCTGGCACAAAGTAGCACTCAATAAATACTGAATAAATGAACTACTCCAAATTCATTTTAAGAGCAGATATGACTTGCCCAATGTCATGTAATGAATATGTATATATAGATAACTTAATTCTCAACAATGGCTTAATGTGTGGCCTTTTTTTTTTTACAAAAAGCATTAGCATTTTTTAAAGGGATCCTCCTGCCTTTATTTGAAAGAGTTGTTCAATGGTAAGACCTGTGGTGGGTTTGAAACACACAATAAGCTGACAGTTATGTTTTCCAGGTAAATCTGACTATAGTAGAAAGTTCCCTCTGAAATCGTTGCTAGTGAGCATGTGGGGGACAGTGGGTTATCTCATTGTGATCCCTGAAGGTTGAGTCGTGCAATGTTGTCATTTGGGCAGCCCTTTTGCTCTGACAAGTGTTTCTATATGTTTTGTGAGTGATTTATCAGTGTTACTGCACAGGCTGAGTTGGGGGCATGCCTCTGTTCTCTGATAATAAAAGGAAGGAGGATATTTACCCCCAGAGATTTGCTGGTGTCATTACTCAATGTCCTGGCTCATTCGGTGTCCTATGTTGCTCCAAAAAAAGAAAAGGCAGAAAAATGTTCATACCTAACACGGTAACGTTGATGATGCCTTGGTTCTTGCCGACAAAATCCGGAGGGTTGTTAACATCGCAGATGTACATTCCACTGTCTGCTGGCTGCATGTGGGATATAGTGATAGATGCATTTCCTGGATTGGTGGATGCTACAATTCGATCTTTGAATTTCCCTATGGCTGAAGCTTGGCCACCTTCAGAATAGTAAATCTAGAACAGAAAAAAAAAAAAACCAGAAATGAGAGTTGGAGAGCATCCAAGGTACACTACCTGGAAGTTCTTTCTATTCACATTACCTTTGGTAAGAAGCAGCATCTTTCCTCCACAGGGAACAGGTCTCTGCAGTCAAGAATTTTCAACTCAGAGGAGCAATTAATTTTCTTACAGTAAGAAAATTTGCCTCAAGGCAGCTCTGTGACACTGTCAGGGTTGGGATCAGTATACCTAGCATTGAGAGGAGGGGACAGCAGGAGCTGATAGGATTCAATACCTAAACTTGGGCTAGGTGATCAAGTTGCTTACCTGCTGAGTCTACCTGGGAGACATGGATGTATGATGGGAAACCAAAACCATCACCTTTTTTCCACCACATTGTAAACTTGTATTTGAATTTACTTTATCTGGTGAGACTATCTGGTTTTGCTAAAAGTTCAAATACTCTTTAGGATAAGCAAACTTGGATTTGTTCTGTTAGAACTGCATGATTTCAAAACAGAAAGTTCTTTAAGAAATCATATGGTCTCATTCTGTCCTAGTGGCGGTGTGAGAATGAAATACCGCAAGCCAGTAAAAAGCCCAGGGATGTTCCTAGTCAGTGCTCAGGTCAAATAAGGGAGCTCAGACTCTAAGAGATTAAATGACTCATTAGAAACCATAAGCATTCATCATCATCATCATCATTAATATTATTATTTACTAGACTTAATGAAATATAGTCCCATCTCCATTAAAGAACATAAATCTTAGGTCTTAATTTGCAACTGTAGGAGCAGTGTGCTGTGGTGGAAGGTGGCCTGGTTTAGTGATCAGATGGCTTAGGTTTTGGCCACAGCTCTGCCTCTGACTGTGACAGGGTCAGGGTGGGAGGTGTCCTGTAGTCAGACCTCCATGGCAATCTTCTTTTTGATAAGAAACAAAGATACTTACTCTCCGTAACCTTTAGTTTCCACATGTGAACAAGAAAACAGACCAATGTGCTCCAAAGCATAAAGTTGATTTTAGGTGGTATCTAAATAAAAATCTACTAATTTTAATGTGTTTTAGAGACATATATTTAACACATCAAATATGTGCCTTTGTAGATATTGTTGCTTAAGTAAGAGTAAGATATTTTTAGGAAATTAAGTCACTATAAAAAACACTAAATAATTAATAGTGCCAGTGATACAGAAATAGGACAAAAATCCAGAAGATGGTACACAAATTACTGAAGCTTGAAAGTCACTGAACTAGGTAATCCCTGAGGTCTCTTCATACTTTGTGTGCTCAGTTCATCAGTTTTATAAAAATGTGTGTCATTCAGTGATTATACTTTATTGTCCAATTAATTGGTATTGCCTTAGTCTGGTGAGACTATTTATTTTCATAAAATCTACTGTAGGAAGGGCCTCACAGTTCATTTAATCTTTTCTCCTCACTTTACAGAAGAAACTGAAGCCCAGAGAAGCAAAACAAATTGCACACAAAAATTAACAGGTGAGGCAGGAGTACCACCCAGGTCACCCAATTCTTTGTCCGGTGTTCTTTACCCAATTGACCAGTTAAAGACAGAAAGCAATTAGAAAATCAAGAGATGCTGTCTAGATGAATTCAAATATTTTCTCATTTAAGTAGAAAGGCAATATATTTTAAAACAAGACACAGAGGTAGATTTTGAAGGAAAACTCAAAGAAATGAGCATATTTAAGGAGAAACAACTTGTCTTTCTCCTTTGGTTTTTCTAACATGCTTTCTAACACCCTGTCCTAAATGCGTCCATTTGTAATCAATTCATTCATACCTACTGAAATCATAGACTTTTGTCCAGAGTGGGCTTGTTTGACTTATAAATCAGAAAGCCAGTAGTAACTCACAGTATTCAAGTGGGACAGGAAGAGTTTCAACTCATCAAGGTCTTTTACTTAAATTTGATAGTCAACACTGGGCCTATTTGCTTTCTAACAAACAACTTGAGGTCCTGTTGTCCTGCACTTGGAATACAGCCAGTTGTCTATTGGGAAAGCGTTTTATAATGTAAGCATCAGGCCATTTCTGCTGCTCCTGACAAGACTAGGGACAGGTCATCCCTGTTTTGTACTGATGCTTGGTGACATTACAATAAGACACAATAGCAATCCTGCCTGTGACCAGCAATAAGTCCCATAGGATCCAGGTGGAAAGAACTTGTTTCTTCAGAGATCAGGGGGACAAGAGTGTGCTTTTGACCAGGATTAGGACATGAAAGGAAGTAACTATAAAAGTCTTTTTATTGGGCATGAATCATGCTGAAATTAGCAAATGAGCAGTGAGGTCCTAAACCTGTAACTTACCCATGGAAAGGACCTTTAGCACCCCTTCTACCCCAGCTCCTCACACTGCAATCTAACCAATTTTTCACGCTCACAAAAGGCACTAAAGGGTATCAGAGGTAGGAATGGCGGTAAAGAAGGAAACAATGAAGACCTAAAAGGGAAAGGCCTTGGTCTCAGGGTACTGTGGGAGAAGGAAAGTCCCCAGTGATAGAGAGCAGCCAGACATATAGATGGAGGGACTTTCTGTTAGGGGAAGTCTGCTCTGTTGCACTGTCCTTGGAAAAGAATAACTCTTTTAAAAATCAAAACTGAAAGGCCCTTCCCATGATCCTATGCAGTTTGTACACTTTCCAAAGAAAGAATATTATCCATTCATGTATCAAAGCAATTGAGGTCCAGGAAAAACTTCAAATGTTCAGTTGGTCACATCCTTTGTGGGGGTGACAGGAGTCCTGCTTTAAGAAAATCTGTCCAAGTGTTCCCTTAAGTAATGCTTGCTCATTTTTTCCCCACTTACCCTTTGTGCCTATGCTCATGACAGACAACCCTGTTTTCTCCAAAGGTCCTCTCTGCCTGCCTGGTGGTGTTATATAGGCTGATGGGTGGAGGGAGTCATAAAAGCACATTAGTTATAAGACCCTCTTCATGATCACTTAGTTCTTGATTTCTAAGGTTAAAAAGCCTTCTGGAGTCAGATGGATATTAGAAATATGGGAAACAGCTGGGAGGGACTGGTAAGTGGTGGTGGTTTCCTAATGAATAGTAGGGACTATGGTGAACTGGAGCCAGTACAAATTGTGGAAACAAACAAAATTCTAGGCTAGCCAACCAAAATGTATCTGCTGGTCAAATCAGGCCCAGAAACCTCCAGTCTGCAAACTCAGATTCATTGTCTTCCATTGCCGAGGACACAGAGGCCCCAATAAGGAAATGATTTCCCCAAGGTCACACAATTTACAGTCAGATCTGGAATTCACATCTCCTGATCACCATTGACTACTGGAAAAGAACACTCTCAGTCCTGCCTAAGGCGATGAAGGTGTCTCTCCTTCCCTTTCTTTCCCTTTGGGGCCATTCTGTCCCCTACTCCAGTCTGACCTTCCTCCTGCCAATTGCTGCTGTTCATTGCCTGATGCTTCCTGTGCTGAGTGAGTTCACTAATGGTGCCCTTGACATTTTCCAGCTGCACTGCAGGCCTCTGGGCTCTTTGCAGAGCAGCCTTTCCCCTCCTACTATGCCAAGTTCCAAGTCACACACAGCTATGCAGCTGGCAGCCAGATTTTTCCTAAAAGATTGTTTCCTCAACTTTGTGCCACTGCTCTCAAACTAGATGCTTGTTGTATAAAAGAGACAGGTTTGAAGAATTCCATCTGCCCTCTATTTGAGCTGGAGTTGGAGTTTCTAAATGCCTTTAGCTTCTAGAACTGATTTTTGGACTCCTTTGGGAGACATGGAAGGCACAGTAAATTACCCATTCTTTTTCTTTCTGCTTCTTGTTTTCTGGTATGGCTCATAAAGGGACTAGCCATGGAGTATAAGTAAGGTGGTGAAGGTCTCAAGCCCAGATTATTCTTGGTCTGTACTATTGTGCCTGAATTGCACATGAAAGGAACAGAATACAAAAAGAAAGGCTCTCCTGCCCGCAAACTCCCCTCTACCAGCCATTTGCCTCATCTATCCTCCGTTTAAGTTACTACTTTGTACTACTTTTGGATAAAGTCATTGGAAGATCCCTTCTTAAGCACATTTCTTTGGAAGAAAACATATAAACTGTCACTGGTCCCTTACAATAGAATAATTTATCAGATTTAGCAAGTATAGATACCTGAGGGAATGGGGCATAGAATAGGTAACCTTTGGTGGAGAAGAAGGGAAGAATTGTAGTGTTGTCCAAATTTGTGTAGGGGATATGAGGATGGCAAAGGTTTTTTCCCACTACAAATACTCTAGGAGAGTATTGTCTAAGAGAGCCATGCTAAGAACGGTCAATGTATATCCCGTTCATGGGCAAGTGAGGTCTTTGTAGTTTTACCAATAATAGACTGGGATGGAAAAAAGAGGCAACTGTGACCAAAGAGGCACCAGACCACCCAAATCTTCCACACTAGCCTTCCTGAACTAAGCCTAGGATTTTCTGTAGAGATTCCCTGTCGAGGGACTGATTTATCTGAAGCTGTCCGTATTTCTGGAGAGAAGAGGACCATACTAGTAAATGTCCTGGCCTCAGAAGACTTGTGGGATACTTCTGCAGTTCCCATTCACCAAAGGAACCCCTTGGAGAGTACATTCATTCCGTAAAACATACATAATACCTGCCCTGGGGTACTGAGAAACACCAGGCCTCAGAGTCAGTTGCTACTTTAACACAATGGGGAGGAGAAAAAGGCATGTGGCAAAAGCTGGTTGCTGCCATGGTCAGGGCAACAATAGGGCCCCGAATCTTTTCTAGGAGGCTGAAGAGTTCCAGACATGGACATGAGAGGGTAAGCCCAAGACTTTCCCAGTTTTGCCAGGCACAGTGGCATACATCTATAATCCTAGCACTCAGGAGGCTGAGGCAGGAGAATTGCCAAGTTCAAGGCCAGCCTGGGCTACATACCAGTTTTGTCAAGAACTTGTGCTAATCTGAATTGTTACCAAACTCAGACCCCTCCGTCCCACTTCCAAAGCTGGTGTCAGTGCCTTAGACTGCAAACAGTGCGAGGAGGCTGGTAATACACTGATAGGTGTTCTTACCTGAGAGGTCCAGCTACATCGTCCCCGAGCGTCTCTTGCATGCGCCATTTTTAGACACTGACTGACTGTCTTTTCCTCCATACCCTCAGTATTGAGGCACGGGCCGTGCTGTGTTTGAGCAAAAATGGGTGGATCTGAGAGGCGATCACTACATGGTACAGTGCCACATCAACCCAGGAGCTGAATCACTCAGTGGTCATTCTGGCCATATTTTACTCCCAGAAGTCATAGAGTTGTCTAACAACACAGCAGTCTCCTTTGAACAGTCTCAAAATGTCCTACTTGAAATCCCTAGATTAGATTAGCATACAACATGCTCTACATAATTTTGAGTGCATGCAAATGCTCAGAGAGGAAAGGGGCCTGAAACGCAGGCCAAATCCTAGTTTGAAAAACAATGTAGGAAGTCTGCAGTCCCTTGGCTGAGCATATTCTATGTTCAGAGATGAAAAGAAGCAGAGAAGGGGCCTGGGTTCTCCCTCCAGTCACAGGACTCAGCAGGTAATGGAACTAGGAGCCAATATTGGTCCAGGATGTCCCTAAAGAGTTCAGGTCTATTAGGTGTATCTTGTTGGACTGAGTTCTCTCACCCATCACTCAGTTCCTCTGGCACACCAGGGGCATGGGTGGGATAAGGATTTTGTAAAAATCACACTTTACGAGTGGTGATGCTTATAATAGTAGCTTACATTCACTAATGTTTACAGTGTGGAAGACTTCCTAGTCCTTCACAATCATCATTGCATTTAATCATCTAATCAAAGCTATGATGTAGGCAAATGTCCCATTTTCCAGATGGGAAAACTAAGCCTTTAAAGGGCCAAGTGACTAGTCTAAGGCCACCCAACCAATAAATAAATGGCAAAGTAAGGAGTAGACCTGTCATCTATCCAGAAATTTCCCTGAGGCTCCAAAACTGCTCATCTAGGGAAGCAGAGGGAAGCACATGCCTGCAGAGTGTGGGAAGATAATCCACTTAGCTAGAAGTAGAGATTTGAAGAGGGTTGTAATGGAGATCTGGCTAGGGTAAGCTGAAGCAACACAGAAAATAGGAGGAGGAGAAAATTTGTTTTTGGGGAGGTGAGATGGTTCACTGTCCTCAAGCCAAGAGAAGGCCCTATTCTACCTGTCATCTATGTGGCGAAAGTGCAGGCATAGCACAGGTCTCATGCACCTTTAAGATTGGGAGCATATTCTCTCTGGTCCTGCAGCTCAGTGCAGAAGGCCTCGTGTGATTTGGACATCCCAAAAGAGAAAGAGATCTTAAATTACTTTCCCCACCTGTACTTGATGTTCTGGAGAATGAGGGAAAGGGCAAGTAAATAATCTATTCTTTAAATACTTGTCAATAGATCGTTCTTTAAAGTTCTTCCATGAGAGGTCCTGAGCTCAAGCTGCACTCAGTTCAATCAGCTATATCTTCTTCCTCTGAATTCCCAGGCTTAGAAAAAGCTCATTGCTGGTCACACGATCCTTTGGCCCTACAGCTCCCTCCAACTCCTCATTAGCTGCACAGTTCAACCAGGAGGTAGCCCTATAAAACACAGCATGAGAGGAGACATACAAGAGAACTTATGCTTTTGAACTCAGAATGGCCTTGCCTACCCTCCAGGAAGTTGAACACATCTTGATTTGAATATCAAGCATAAGACATTTCAGAATATGTTGACAAGGCCTCTCTAAATTCACCCCTTACTGGGAAAAGAAGAAGGATTTCAAGTCTACATACAGATAAAGAATGTGTTGGACAGACTAGTCAGGCAATTGAATTTTTAAAGAGTGAAAGATCATGTGGTTATTGCCAGGCACATTCTGCATGAGAGCACCTGCAAAGGAAAGTGATCATTTCTCAGTTGATTCCAACATGCAAGCCTTGGGTCAGGACATTTTGGGTGATGGAAAATGGTAGAATCTCTCTGCTGATGGTACTGCTGCTGCTGCCACCAATCATAATGGTGTTTCCATGGGATAAAAGTCACAGGGCTTTATGTGTTTCTGAGTGTTTTGACATGCATTATGTCAGTTGATTCCCCACAAGTTTTGTTGCTCTACTGTATTTTAAAGAGAGCACGGAACCTCAAAGCTAATGCCCTCCTTCTCCTCTCCCTCTGCCCCTATGCCTCCCCCATCCCACTCAACTTGTTCTTCCTCTATCTTTCTACTAACCAAATCCTTCCTTTCCTTCAAGGCCCACCCAGCTACACCTAACTACTCCAAACCATACTAATTGTTCTCTTTCCTAAATTCCATTTTGGGTCATCCATCATTTTGAGAATCTGATGAAAGCTATAGACCTTTTCCTTAAGGGATGTGTATAGGCATGCATTATGTATGTGGTCACTTACACATGTGCACACATACTTTTGGGTATATAATTCAAATCCTTGGGCTAATTTAAAGAAGGAATTACCCTCAAAGCCAGGTGAGGAAAATCTGGGAATAGGCAGCTTGCCTTTGAAATCCTTCTCCCCCATTGACATTCACCCACCTTCTTCTGGCAACCTCTTCCTACAAACCTTTTGCCTACCCACCTCATCCTCTATCCTCTAACTTCATGTTACCTTTGATTACCCAGGGTTCATCACTACCATGGCCTTTCTCCATTAATCTAAGGAATCCCATTTCATCAGTATTCATTCTGGCACAATGAGCCAGTTCACTTGACAGGCAGATCCCAAATATTAAGTTAGGCACACAGCTGCAGATCTATTAGAACTTGTATTAGTCTTCTAGAAGTAAGAGGGGAAGGGGAAGTTCTTTCACAACCACTTTTCATTTAACCTATGAAAAGGACTGTTTCTGTCTGCTCTAGAATACATGATATGTATGATGTTGACCAACACAGAACTAAGATAACAGGTATAAATAAATATGAACAGAACACAAAAGGCTAACTCACTTAGATGATGGTCTTCCCTAAACATCTATCTTCTAACTCTATTTCAGGTTTTATCACTGTTGTCACTGGCATACCATTCCTTCCTATTCTTATTCCAACAGTTTTCAGTCAGAACAACCAAAGGGGAAGAGTTTAGGGAAAAATCCTTACAGAAACTGGCTCCATTTCCTTCTGATGGAAGAAAGACCACTGGATGGAAAGCTTGTCCAGGGAAGTCACAGTGGTGGTGTAGATGCAGACAAGAGTGACATTAGATCCAACAGTCACATTCACGAAACTGTCTGGGATGGTCACTTGCACCATACTAACTTGATCTGAAAAGACAATCATCAGAAAAAGAATGGTACTCACATTCTGATAACACTTTTTTGTCACAAAACACTTTCAAAGATATCTTTAGAGAATCCAAGGTGAGGAAGAAGAGGGAGAATGAAACACATAGGAAAACTGAGCAGGAAATAGGGGAAGGGGTGGGGGAGTTTTTAACAAGTTATAATGTGAAGAGACTCAAATCCTAGGTGATGGTGAGGTAAAATCACTAAATTGGGAATTTCTTCTATGCAAGGCTCGCCTTACACACAGGTTATTACATTCTTGTCCAGGGACCCCTAAAGGTCTATGAGTAAGGAGAAAAAAATCCAGTTTGCTCAGGATCAAGATGGTTCCTTGAATGTGTGAATTTTGGTTTTAAAACTGACTAATTTGCAGGCAAATCCTACTGATTTTTCTAGTACTTTCAGAGCTAAAACCAGAAAAATTTCAGGCAAACTGGGATGAGTTGGTCATCCTATCCCTAAAACATGGGGGAGGGGTATCGCAAGATCAAAATTATATTCATAATGAATAATACACAGATGTTATTTTTCTTTTACACTCTCATTCTCTCCTGGGTATACAGTGGAGTTTTCTATAATCTATGTGACAGATATTGATGTCATTACTCTGGTCATTAATGGAATATATGCTTGTGTATTTTTCCGTCTTTTTTTCAGCTTTAATTTGTAACACAATATATAAATATAGAAATAACACACAGAGAGAAATATTTTGGAGGTCCTAAATAGCTTTTTTTTTGTGGTGTTGGGGATCAAACACAGGGCCTTGCACATGTTAGGTAAACACTGTACCGCTTAGCTACACCTCCATCCCTGTTACTGATTTCTAGTTTGATCCAATTGTGGTCAGAGAACATACTTTGTATGATTTCAGTTCCTTTAAATTTGTTTAGGTTTGTTTTATGGCAAAGCACATGGTCTCTCTTAGTGAATGTTCTGTAGTTGCTTGGGGAAGAAAAGTTCATCATGCTGTTAGGTGGCATGTCCTATACAAAGAGGTAAAATTTTAAAAACTATGATTGTACTGGGATATATCCTATTGATTGATTATCTTTTCAGATATTCCATATACTTGCAGATGTTCTTTCTAATAGATTTATCAGTTTCTGAGAGCTCATATTAAAGTTCCCTAACCATATTTGTGAACTTGCCTCTTTTTCATTTTAGTTCTATCAGTGTTTGCTCGTGTATTTTGAGAGTCTGAGGTTTAGTGTGGATACATGAAGAACCATTAGGTCCACCTGCTAGAGCGATTCTGTTATTTTTAGGAAATGTACCTCTGTCTCTGGTAGTTTTCTTTGCACTAATGTCTACTTTATCAGATATTAACACAGCTACCCTAGGTTTAAAAAATTACATACCTTTTTACTTTAAATCCACCTATATCATTAAATTAATGTGAATTTCTTATTTAAATGTTTTTATTAGTATACAATAGTTATACAGGGAGTTTCGTTGTGACATTTCCATATATGTATATAATGTGCTCCAGTTTGGTTCATTCCCTCTATTTTTCTCCCTCTTCCCCACCCCTTCTTAAAATGACTTTGACAGATTTCAATGTTCCATATTCATACATGCATAAAAAATACATGAACCATATTCACCCTCCTTTACCCTCCCCCTCCCACTAATAACCTCCCCTTAACATAACCTGTTTTACATTTCTCTTGTACATTATTTAAGTGTCTGTTCATTGTTCTGGGGGGTTGCTTTGATATTTTACTTGTACATATATTATACTTTAATCAGTCTAACCTCCTCTATTACTCTTCCTTAACCCTACCCTGTATTGTCCAACAGTTTTCATTGCATTTTATTGTGTCTTGTTCATTCACAGATATGATGTATTCCAATATTATTAATGTGAATTTCCACCGAGCAGCATATAATTGGACCTACAGACAATGTAATTACATTTAGTGCAATTATTGATGGGTTAGTTCTTAAGTATCCCATTTTCTTATTTGTTTTTGGTTTCTTTTGCTTCTTCTTCCTCTGTTTCTATTTTTTTGCCTTCCTGTCAGTCACTTAAACATTTTTTATGATTCTGATATTATTTATTTATAGTGTGTTAAAGAACATATCTTTGTATAGTTTTCATAGTGGTTGCTTTGGGTATTATGATATACATATGTGAGTGATGACAGTCTAATGGCATCAGTATTTTACCACTTTGAGTAAAGTATGCAAACCTCACTTCCATTTAGGCCCATTTTCCTTCTCTACTTTTAAATATTATTGTCTTGAATATAAGATAATATTTGATTTTGCTTCAATCATCACATATGATTTATAAAACTTATGAGTTAAAGCATAGTCTATTGTATATGGTCACCTTTCTACTCTTTCTATTATCCTTCCTGGATTCCTGATGCTCCAAAATGCTTTTTTTTTATCACTTACTTTATGTTTGAGGAAATTCCATCAGCTATTCTTTAAGAGTATGTATGTAAGCTACAGATCATTTTTTTCTTTTGACTGAGAATCTCATTATTTCCCCTTAATTTTCTAAGAATAGTTTTACTTATTTAGCAGTACTGGGGTTTGAACTCAGGGTCTCAGGCTTGCTAGACAGGCACTCCACCACTTGAGCCAAGACTCCAACTCTCAGGCATTGTTATCAGGATTTCCTTAAGCCAGGTTACCAAGTGTTTCTCAGTGAGCAATGGTATGGTAGGTCATTTCTACAGGTGCTCCCTACTGCTCTTGTGTCTCTGTGGGGGCAGAAGAGTTCTAGACCCACAGAAACAAAGAACCTTCCCAGATTGGGACACTTGCCAGTGACTTCATTTCTTTTATTTCTTCTACCCTTACACCTCTGGTTCACTAGGTGAAAATGGGGAGTTTTAGACCAAGTAGAAAAGGAGATTACTTTTTTTGTTCACAATTATTGGTGGAGCTTCTGATCAGAAAGAGTCTCATTTGATCTAGGAATGAATGAGCTTACCCAGGCTGCTCTCTATTGCTAGGTTGGGGGATGAGGAAATGCCTGGACTAAGACCATTTCTTTTGTTGGGCTGGAGATATTAAATAGTCTGCCTCTTTGTTCTCCCAGGGTTCAAACCAGTTTGCGCTCTTCTTATCACCTTTCAGAGTTCTCTTGTGGTTGTCTCTTTCACTATTTCCAGAATCTATATTTGTGCTTAGCAGGAGGGAGCAAGAAGAAACAAATCTACATCATACTATTTGGACCAGAAATCTCCAGTTTTTCAGAGTATTTAATGTTCCTGAGACCATAAATTGTGAGAGCTATTAAGGTAATGAGCTACCCATGTGATATAGAAGAACATCAAAGAGCTCCATACCCAAAAAATCCTGCCTGCCACTCTACTGAAATGCTCAGTGCCATGAGAACTTTCCAAAGGGCTGTGATAGATCACAATACTTCAGATAATACTATAGAGGCACTGGTTCATCTGATTAACTGGTTATTACCCATCACAAAGTCAGAACGTATGAAAGTTCTATAGGATGGAACATAGGACAGGCAGGTAAGTACTGGAGGAGACGGCGAAGTTCATGAGATGCTGCCCATGCTTCAGGGAGACTGAAATGAGAGTCCTATCTGCCAGCGAGGTTCGTGAGGAGATGTGGCGGTACAATAAGGATATAGAGATCATGAGAAGCTCAGAGGAAATAGTACAGAAAGACAAATCCTTAACTCATTTTTCTCACTTAATGGCAGCAGTTAGAGAAAAGGAATTTAGGGGATTGACATTTTGAAAAGGCAAAAGAAAAAGCAAGCCATTGAACTTATTCTTCCTTGTTTCCTGAATTTGATAGCTATATTCTCTAAAACAGCCAGGCCCACTCTGACAGCAGCTGGTCCTTTACATGACAACCAATGCATTGAGGAATTGAGGAAGCAGCTTTAGGGTAGACCCAAACATAGCATCTTCTAATTCCATGCACTTTGCCGCTTGTGAAATTCTCCTCCTCATACGTTCCTGGTTCCAATAATGCCTCTCCCCCCAAAAGGAAATTAGATTGAGAAAACAGCTATTTTTTTCCAAACTAAACCTCACTGGATAAAACTGGTCCTCTTCCTTGGAGGGAGAGGTAGATCCTTCCTGTTCGCAAAGCACCTAGGTCCTTTCTCCTGGAAGTTAGCCATATCTCAGGCTGTGCTTAAATTATGACTTCAAAATGCTTTAAAGTGTCCAAAATGAAAGGGATAGAACTGGAGATTTGGTGAACATTACATTTCCTAGAAACTTTTCCCTAACAGAGATTTTGGAGATATTATTTGGCCATCATTTTTGTTTTCTAGTTTGGATCCTAGTATTTGTTATGAGATTAACCAACGGTAGAATGGTGGTAAGTTATGACCAGAAAAAGCAAAACCAAAACAAACCAAAATAAAAAACTTTTGATGGACACTCTCAGAAAAAAATGCTTAAAGGTAGAGTTCTCACACCAAACAAGCCATGGAAGAGGCAATAGAGCCTAGCAACGAATATGTACTGAACAGCTATTTTGTGCTCAAACAGTGTAAAACACTACAGCAACAATAATGAATAAGACAGACATGTCTCTGCTTGCCAGGTCAATGCAATAGGAAACCATTTATAGCACAGACCAGGATGGAGGTGAATGAAAATCAGGGACTTGAGAACTACAAATCTGATTCAAACATTTCCAACATTTTAAAACGAAACTAATGTATAGTGTAAGCCTATTCAGAATTGTCACAATGAATCCCCCTGTGCAATGAGTATATCCTAATAAAAATGGAAAGACATCGAAAATAAACAAAAAATTGAAGAAAAATAAATAAAAGACATATATACTTATAACTATTTTGCGATCTGTAAAAGCTCACTATCACATTCGAATTCAGATGGGAATTCCAAAATTCAAAGTGATACAATATATTTTAAAGGCTACTAAACCTTGTTCTATAAATAGGCAACAATTGGCAAGGCAAAATCTCCAGACCATTTTATTGCCCAGATTCCTAATACTCAGCACAATAATCATAATTTCTTCTTAATTGAATTATGAAGAAAATGGTTTTCAGATATTTTCCACCCTTCATATGGTGACAATACACTTCAGCTATATAATTTAAGATTCACCTTAAAAATACAGCAGCATTCTTTTGGCGCATATTACTGAAGCCTCCGGCATCACCCTCCAGCCCAGCACTGTCCAACAGAACTTTCTGTTAGAATGATGATGGTGACAGAAATGTTCAGTCTCTACACTGCCCAATCACATGAAATGTGACTACTAAGACTAAGGAAGTGATATGTTTACTTAATTTGAATTACTTTAAATTTCAATAGCCTCATGTGGAGAGTGGACAATGCAAATTTAATTCTAAACAGGAGGTAATTCTGTGAATGTCAAAAGAAAAAAAAAACAGTTCCTTTCCTTTGGATGAATTCATTCTAAATAGAAAAAATTACTTTAAAATTCAGAAAGTCAGAAAAATGTATACATTAACAGAACTGTGAATAAAGACTAGTACTTCATTTAAATAAATTCCACAATTGCCTGTTTTCTTACTGATTACTGATAACTGGATTAAAAAAAAATCAATGCAAAAATGCATATATGGCCGAAATATGTATGACTCCTTTTAGAAATCAGGTCTATTATTAAATGAAATAATCCAAGGTGTGTATGCTCAAATGTATCAGCAGTTTTAAAAGATTTTAATTGTTTTGTATTTTGGTGATGATCATGTATTTGATGCTTATAATGTGAGCAAGCCCTTTGCTTATTGGAGGATTATTATTCTAATATACCACAGCAAAAATATCCCCCAATTAGTCATATTTAACTTAATATTTTTGAAGCAATTTAATTTCTAGCAACCTCATGTAAAATTGCTTCATTTGTGAGTTACAAAATAATATAATCAAATGATTACTCACTTTTTGATTTTGACTGCTAAACCAAAGTTCAAATATATTATTTCTTTGAAATGCATAGTCCATGCCTCCAGATATGAAAACATTAAAATATCTTCCCAACATGTGACTAATAGATATTACAAGTGCCTAAAACGGTATGTATGAACTTTTGCAGAAGAAAATCTTGATTAAAATTAGTTTTCCTAAATTGAAATTTAAACTAAGACTTCCTAAGAAGTCATTAAAAATATTTTGATTAAAACAAAATCTTTCCTGTTTAATTGTACAGGAAATTGATTTTAAATATGTATATGAAAATCATTTCTGTATGTTTGGAGTCTGGGAAGGTAATTCATTCTTTCAACAAACATTTTCTATGTGCCTACTATGTGCAAGTCACCATGCTGGACACCAAAATGTGGCATTCTCTCTGAAACAAGTACAGGTGGGGCAGCAAATTGTACATTGATGGAAACATTATCAGGTGTCCCACAGCCATATCTGGATCAACTGGTCACTCTAGATCACTAAAGTGGTCCGGTTCACGGCAAATGGCAGATATAGATTACCTAAATCTTCCTTTCTCTGACTTCCATACATCTATAAGTACAGCAAATAACACTGTACTTCCATTTCATCTGCTGGGCTGGCTACCGTATTTTGCTTTGGGCCAGTTAGATCATACATGTATGGATATATAGCATATAATGTACACCAACAAAACCAATTAAACAGTAATTTAAGAACTAAATATTCTGAAGTACTTATTGGTAACTCCAACTGGGCCTTGTCTATAAGTCACAAGTAGTATCCCAACATCATGCTAAATAATTTTTTAAACAATAGGAAAATTGTATACAAGTTATAAGCCCTATTTTAATGTAATATATATACTTGAAAAGAAAAAAATAAGAAATTTGCCCAAATTTGAGTGATAAGATTGTAGGTGCCTGGGCTCTGGAGGCTCATGCTTATAATCCTAGCTATTCTGGAAGCAGAGGTCAGGAGGATTGTGGTTCGAAGCCAGCCTGGGCAAATAGTTTGCAAGACCCTATCTCAAAAAGCCCTTCACAAAAATAGGGCTGGTGGAGTGGCTCAAGGTGAAGGCCCTGAGTTCAAGCCCCAGTACCATCACCAAAAAAAAAAAAAAAGAGATTGTAGGTGATTTTTATTTTCTTATTTATACATGTCCATATTTCAACCTTTCTTCAATGATCATTAACTGTTTACAATCAGTAAAAATTATATACATTAGTTACATTAAAAATCATTCTTGTACTTGTTCTAAACCCTGTGCCTAGTAGGCCAGGTTAAGGCCTCACATAGGGAAATTAAGTGTTGACTAAAGGTGTGATCTTAGAGAGTTGGTGAAGAAAGCCTGAGTTTGACCAATTGGCTAAGGATTGGAGGGAGGCACAAAGATTTTCACTGTTTAAAATGAAATTTAACTGAATATTCTAGGTTAGGGAAAATAGTAACATGTGTTTCCAGCTCTATGGCCTAGTTAGGTCATGGGATGAATGCAATATCCCCTTCTGGTGACTTTTGACTCCATACAACATATTTTTTTACCATTTAGCAACAAATATTCAAAAAAAATTACTACCAATTACAAGATAGTTTGGAAAAGCTACACTTTTTTCTAATTATAAAAATAGTATAAGGACTGGAGATGTAGATCAGTGGAAGAATACTTGCCAAGCATACACTAGCCCCTGGGTTTGCTGCCCAGCACTGCAATATCTCTATCTATACAGACAGATATATATATAGAGAGAGACATATATACAGACAGATAAATATATAGACAGATAGACATACAGACATATATATATATAGACAGATATACATATAGACAGCTAGATAGATACATATATATTATTCTTTTTATAAAACCTAGAAAGTATGGAAAATCTGGAAATAAAATTATAATCATCTATAATCCCATCACCCAGAAGTAACCACCATTAGTATATTGCTTTCTATTAATTTATTATTGCCATGTTTGTATATCCTGCTTTTTTACATAGTATTTTATCCTGACCATATTCCTGCATCATTAAATATGCCTATTAAAGCTCATTCTAAAGACTGCCTAACATTACTTGTTTAAAATATTCTCTTTTTTGATATAATATTGTTATATCTATCATAAACCTAGTTTATCATACAAAAAGATTTAAAATATATCATATATCTGGTATTTGAAAAAAATTGGCCAGATTTTCTGAATTAGTGGGATTTTGACTCTAAAAATGATTTTGTTCTACTTGAATTCCTAAAATCACCCATATTGTACACAATGATAAATCACTCCTACATTTTCCAAAATACAGTGGTTTGGAAAACCACAAGTCCCTGAGAAATATTAAAAAACAAAGCACTCAGTAAATCTCTGTTCTTCCCACACATATACCCTGGCAGGCTCCAACCCAGGCTCTTTAAGCTCAATCACAGTGAGCTTAAAGAAAACACTAAAGTAAAACACAGAAAAATATTCTTAGTATAAACTTCCGTTTCTGAGTAAATTTACTTGTTCGCTTTTCAAACTAAACAAGGAAAGAAACTACGTTCTTTTTCTGAGAAAATTCAATTTAGAATTTCCATAGAACAATTTTACTATAGGCTGGCTTTCCAAATACCAGCATGGCACATATTTTCTAAGAAAGAGTTATGAAAATCATTCAGAGGAATTATTCAAGGGAATTATTCAGAGAAATTATTCAAAGGAATTCATAATTCCATTGAAGTCCAGGAGAGGAAAATTCTACGTAAAGGTTTACAATTTCAGTCTGAATTTCCAGTTTCCTCTAGGGCTTTGGAGATCCTTTCCTTACCCGCAAGGCAGTTTAGGATCAGGAACACCTTCCAAAATGAGAACACCATCGTGTCGAGGTTTCTTGAGAGCAGCAGGTGCCAGAGCTTGCCTGGACTAGGCTGAGTCTCAAACTGGTTTCTTCAATCACACCGGGGTTTGCCAGGCTTATCTGTTGGGCATCACCAAGCAAACATGCTTCTTTAGGCTTACTTACTGGGCACAGAGCTTTCTCAGTGGATTTGTGTTTCTTTGAAACACTTTTCATGGGGCGTGTTTCCTTGATATATTTGCTACTGTGTTAATAATAAACCCATGTATTTAAATTTTTCAAGCTCTTTATAAATAGATTCTCTAAGTCTCATTGTTTAAAATCAATCTTCTTAAAAATTGTACTTGGGGGGAAGATACAGTTGGAAGAGCACCTATGCAAATAAAAGCTGACAAGGCTAATTAATTTCAAATATTTCCATGAAAGTCTCATAGCATAGATTCACTAACCTCCTTTCACAAATTAGGTGAGTCCATTGGTGCTATAAGGTTTCCTGGGGAGATAAGGTTCACAATAAGAGCACAAGGGTTATGAAGCAAAAAGACATTCATTTCTACATGAACAAACTCTGAACATGTCACTTTTTTGAAACACTGACCGTTGTCACTACCCTCCAGTAGTATGAATTTCATGCTTATGTCTCCCAAGTTAGGAACCTTATGGCAGTTATTCACTAACTTAGTTTTGCAAAATCAGGTTAATGAATAAATGTTTCATGACTTCCATTAGATGAGTCTGAATTTTTGCAAAAGTAAGTTACTTAGTAGATACTATAGGGTTTCCTTGGAAATGGGGCTCACTAGAAGGGTATAGAATGCCACAACAGGTGGGAAGCTTTCATGTGAGCATGAATTTCTAGTAAGAGTTCTTCTCAAGCTTAAGTTACGCTGTGAAACCTAAGGGCCTCCTCTGACTTGTCCCTTGCCCAATCTGCTGCTTCCACTGTGGTCTGGATACTCAGCTCTTCACTTCTGGCCTCCCATAGCAGCTTCCTAAATGATCTCCAGATTTCTTTCTCCTTCATCCTGTGTACCAGTCACAGGCCAGTATTCCAACCCTAATAGCAATAACATCCTGTATAGACTCTTAGCAAGTCCAAAGTCCTACATCTGCATTCCCAGCCTTCCATGATCTGGTCCTCACCACATTTGATCTTTAGCCATGTTAAATTAGCCTTAACCTTAAAAATGCTGCTAAGATTTATTGCTCAAATCTTTAGTCACATGAAATGTGCTCAAATTTCAAATGATCTTTTAATGAACTTTAATTTACAGAAAATATTTGACCCCATCTTACTTTAGCCAAACTCATTTCCCCATGTTTCTTAAAAAGCCATTTTGCTTCCATTGGGCCTCATTCTTCCTTACACACTTCTCTGTCAATATTTATGTCTAATACCAAACCTTGGCTCCAAGTAACTTCTGTTGCTACTTAGAATTTTCTCTTCCCTCTTCTTGCTGTCCAAGCATATTTTTATTGCAGATCAGTCATATTATCATATGTGAAAGTTTTGATGAGCCTGCATACCACCCCTCTCAGGGCTCCCCCTAGCATAAATTCCCACTCGAGAGTCAAGCAATACTCTACAGTTGACACCTGATGATTCCTAGTAGTTTCCTATTAATGGACTCTCCCTAAATCCAGTGACTGTGAGCTCTTTCAGGGCAGGAATCAGCTCTTATACGGGCTGTTCTCAACTTAGGAAAGTGTGTGTCCCAAAATGAATACACACTCCTGCAGAAGCAATGCTATAAGGAAGTCTCATTCCCAGATCTATGGAGCACATAGTTCAACACTGGCTTGAATTCTGGGTGCTGGACCATAGAGAGCACGGGAGGAGGAGCAGCTACAGCAGGTGACAAAGAAAGAACATTCTTTTTCCCCAAAGCATGAGTTGTACACAGGACAACAATTTTCCTCAAATAAATATTGTATGTCCTTGACAACCACTTTTCTTTATAACTCCATCCTCATGGCTCCTTCTGTCCCTAGATTGCCTCTAAGAGCAAGTCTCACTCCTCAGAATATCCTATGCTCCAAAATTTCTTTTTCCTTTCTATCTATCCCTGTTGCTCCCAGAACCACCATGCTCCTCTGCACAAGCAGATACCAGCTCTGTATTAGGAGAGGGAGAATCATTTTTCATGAACATTTTCTGACCTGCTTTCACTGTCAAAATTAGGATGCTGGTGTTCCCCAAATAAATCTCTGATCAAGAGATGTAGCCAATACAATAAAGAGAAATGGTAGGAGAGAAGAGGTTTTGCAGAGGCTCTGCAGTTTCATACCAGCTCATCTCAACCTTGATTCTGCCCTGACTTCTAAGCCCATCAAGTCTCCAAAAGACCCACAGTTTTCACAATGGCTTCCCTAGAAGTAACATTGGCACTCTCAGTGGTATGGAGATGGGATTGGGGAAGAGATTTGTGCATCTGGTGTTTGTAAGCCAGAGGCTTTTTGTGTTCCATGTCTGTGAACATTTAAGTGATATATAATAGTGTGAACATGTAAGTGATAATTAAAACTAGAATGCTTTTACATGGGACAGAAAGCATAAACTGCGACACACCTGGATATCTTGCCACCTACCCACAGGCACATGTAGGCAAAAAGTTCGTGCAATAAAGAAGAACTTGTTGATTAACTCAATATGTCTAAGCTGCTCGGCCCTAGGAGCTGTGCAGTGAAAGATATGATTGCCAAAAAACCATCTGCAGCGATATCTCCTACAAACCCCAACACTCTGGAACGTTTAAGTAAATACCTACAATGCTTCTATGTAAAACCTAACAGGACAGGGGGGATTCTGTTAAAACAAACTCTAAAAGCTCATCCAAATTCTCTGTTTGGAACTGAATTTTGTTTTCGGTTGATTTACTTAAAAGAAGTGGGCCACTGACTGGCACGTGAAATATTAGTTTTCACATTGTTATAGGATTCTATGATGTTTAAACTGCTTTTCCATTTTATCTTTATGTCTGTCCAACAGAATAAATAATACAGGTATTATCTACATTTTCTATGTAAGAAAACTGAGGTTCAGAAACAGTGTGTCTTTCCCAAGGTCACATAGCACACATTAGAATCTGTTCCCACCACACTGTACAGAAGCCCAGTGTGACTGTAATGTAATAAATATGCTACTGCCACCAAGATTCTGCCTTGGGAACATTCAGAAATACATGAAATCTAATTTATCCTTCATTTTAACCTAAAAGTTACTAAAGTGATACAACTTGAATAGAAAAGGATTTCAAAAAACAAAGAAGTATACAAAGGAAAAACAATCCATCTCCAGCATTTGCCAACAGTTATAATTCCATACTCAGGCTTCCAAGCAACAGGAGTTCAGTATTTTTCTTAAGACTTTTTTAATGCACACACGCATGCACACATACACAATGATCTTTAAAACATTTTTATTAGTATATGATAGTTATACAAGGGATTTCATTGTGACATTTCCATATATGCATGTATTATACCTTAATTTGTTTTATGCCCTACATTACTCTCCCTCCTACCCCATTTCACTTCTTAAAGTGACCTCAACAGATTTCAATGTTCTATATTCATACATGCTATGAAGTACCCCAACCATATTCACCCTCCCTTAGCCTCTTCATTTGCCCTCCTCCTCTCACTACTACCCTCCCCTTAACATGATCTATTTTACATTCCTCTCCTTCATTGTTTCAGTGTCTTTTCATTGTTCAGTGGGGATTTTGCTTTTGTATTTTACCTGTTAAGATATTGTATTTTGATCAGTCTGACCCCTTCTACTACTCTTCCTCACCCTTTTCTGTCTACCCTGCATAGTTCAACAGTTTTCAGTGTGTTTTGTTGTGTCTTGCTCCTACACAGATGTGATGTTTTTCATTATTATTCACTCTATCATTTTGCTTTTCCTCCTCTCTTGGTGTCCTCTAACAGTCCCACTTTTGGAAGCATATTCTGTATATATTTATATGTATATGATAATACTTGTATTTGTATTGGATCTATCTTCCACATATGAGAGAAAACATTACAACCTTTGTCTTTCTGAACCTGGCTTACTTCATATAAGATGATGTTCTCCAGTCCCAGTTTGCATTTACCTGCAAACTACAACATTTCATTCTTCTCTATGGCTAAATAAAATTCATATATATATATATAATCACAACAAAATGATTTTTTAACATGAAGATGGTCAAACTACACATATTGTTCTGTAATTTGATTTTCCCCTTTAAAAAAGAATTTCTGTTATCTCTGTCATTATGTCCAGCTACATATACAGGTCTACTTTACCTGTCTTAAGGCTACATTGCATTTCACAGCATGGAGTTACTGTAAATTATTTAACCATTTTCCTATTGGTGAATTATTAAATTGTTTCCAGTTTTTCACTATTATCTGTCTAGATATCCATCCATTTGGGTGATTATTTCTGTAGCTTGAATCCCTAGAAATGGAATTTCTCAATAACAGGGCATGAATATTTACTTTTGGTAGACTGTGAAATTGTCCATCAGAAATTCTTTATGAATCTACGCCTCTATTAAGAGTATGTGAGAGTGCCTGTTTCTCCACACACTTTTATTTTTACTAGTATTATAAGTAAAAAATTGGTATTGCCTCATTTTACTTTATAGTTCTCTAATAAGCTCTCTCTCTCTCTCTCTCTCATATATATATATATATACATATATATATATATATATATATATATATATATATATATATATATATCACTAATCTTATTCTGGGTTTTGTGTCTATGTTATAATTCTTTTCTTCTCATGCATCACTTTTCTTTTAAATTTTATGCCTTTCACCATAAAGAAATTTGCATATTTTACTTAATCTGTCAATTTTTTCTTTGCAGCTTCTGAGTTTTATGTCTTTCCTAAGAAAGCCTTCTCTAACCAAAGAATATAGAAGTATTATTCCATAGTATTATTAAATAATATATAATATTCTATGTCTTAATGATTTTATAATTTTGCCTCTTGCCATCTCAGTTATAGCAATTATGACCTTCCAGTTGCTCAGGACAAAAGCTTTGGTGTCATCCTTCAGTCCTTT